GATATTTTCTATGGAAAAAATTTTCGGTTTAATAGCAAATAAAGTCTCTGAACAGTGAGAAAATTGTCAAAAAAAAAAATCCAAAATCTTTGTTAGTGGTGGATAACCTTAGACATGTTTAGAAATGAGCATATGGGCCCTTTTCCATCCACCACCGTTAACTTCACATTTTCTATCCATTAGCGCATTAAAAAATCATTTTAATTCATTTGCAGTCTCAAAATGATTGGGTAAATAACCAGAATGTTTCCTAAACATTTATTATTTACATAAATTTGGTGCATAAAATATCATTTCTTAACTTTTTAATTTTTATATCAACTTATTTACTTTTCAATAATATTGGGGAAATTTTTTGTTAAAAATTATTTTAATTACAACAATGACGTGAATAATCTATTAAATAATAAAGTAAATAAAATTATAAATTTAAATATCAAAATGGTGTAAAATAATCAATTCAAAATTTAAAAACTAATTAAAAAAATGTGATATTAAAAACTCACATTTCCCTTTACCTCCTTTATCTCTCTTCTACTCTCCTCTCATTTCTCCCCTATCTTCTCTTTTTCTCTTCAAGCTTCCTTTGGTCTACTGTGTGTTATGGCTCTTTCTGTTATATAGTCTCGTGCAAATTTTTCATTATCAACTTCATACCAAATATGAAAAAATTAATAATTTAAAATATATATAAGTTATTAATTTTTTGTACATCACTTTTTCACTTACTTTTTTTAGTAGAAACATTTTTAATAAAATTATTCTCCCATATTCTTGTAACTTAATAAAACATGTTGACATTTAACAACTATGCCTTTTTAGAAGGTGCATCCTACCCCTAGGAATTTTGAATTTTTTTATTTTATACTTCATCATTTTGATTTTTTTATCTATTATTTTATTTAATTTATTACTTAATAGATTATTTATGTTATTTTTTAATTAAAATAATTATTTAACAAACAAATTGTCTATGTAATTTCCACGTAACATTAAAGGTATAGAGAAATGATTTTTAGGCACTATAGATTGGTGTAAAAATGAAAGTCTAGGAACCTTTTTGGTCATTTAGCTAATCATTTTGGGATTAAACATGAAATAAAAGGCTTTTTAATGACTTAACGTACGGAAAACGTGGGGAGGTAATGGATGTTGATGGTGGTGGATGGAAGAAGACCGCAAATGCTCACTTCTGCACACGTCAAGGAATTATTTGCCATCAGCAAGATTTTACATATTCTTTGCCCCCTTTTTTTTTTATTGACCAAAGATTTTACTATTTGCCATTAAATCAAATATTTTCTCTTATAGTTATAAAAAAAATATTTTATTTTATAAAAATTATTTTTTGTTGTTTGGAAAATTTGTTTTAAAAAATATTTTTTGTTATT